AGCATTGTTTTACTGATGAAGCAACATCTCATCATAGACCAGCTTTCCCAGATTAGGAACCTTTCGATTACGATGCGACAGACTCGAGGTCCAAAGACATCGTTTTCAGGCAAACTTCATTGTTTAGTCGACTGAATCATTCCACATTGGGGGAGCTTCGGAAATGAAGAGTTTCGAGGGAATGTCTAGAGAACCTCGCCTCAATAATCGAGTAGAACTATTGCATCTTGCTAGTTTTCTCTCCATCGAGCTCCATTTATAAAATTCTCCTCTCAAAACCCCTCGAGAAGCCTAGAATTCACTATTATTTATCAGATTCCGGGCTTGATCGAGGGGTATGTAGAAAAACCGAAATCATGGAGCAACCATGTAGCGCTTCGCGACAGGATCTCGTTCAGAGTGGAATCCCGGAAATTCCCCTTCCGATACGGGAATCAGTTTGCGGCCAGCGTGCATGAGGATCCAGATATAAGACCGCAAAGAGCGACAAGTTATGGCTATTTGGATGACGAAGTACATCGAACAGGTCACCCGAGCCTGGGTAAAGACGTTTCCACGTCAAAACCGCTAATGGTGGAACGCAGTGTTGAGGAAAGTGCCCCATCTCGTTATAACTGGCTCGGGAGGTAGCGGTTCTGTTGGGAGCTATGATTTGTGCCGAAAGGACAAACGAGAAACAGGATCCGAGAGGTTATCAGAGGTATCAGAGAAAACACGTCGTTGACGCTCGTAGCATCTACCAAGAGTGACACCTTTTTTATTTTCAAGATAAAGGCCGTTAGTTCTGAATACTGAGTAGATGGCGCTCCTGATTGTGTCACAACCAATCAATATATGGCATCGAGTTCAGACGACTCATGACGCTGTGTTGACGCTTTCAACACTTCCCCCTCAACCAGCATTCATGTGAGCGATTACTTGGACGAAGCCACACCTATCTGGCCTCGCAGCCTCTCGAAACGTACTCGCTCGAGCGACTTCGTGAAGCTGTCAGCCAGCTGATCTTTCTCTGCTATGTGTTGAATTGACACCTCTCCCTTAAGATGCTTTTCCCTTACGAAGAAATGTCGAACCTCAACGTGCTTGGAACGTTTGTGATACTCCGGGTTTTTCGCGAGTTTCACGGCACTTAAACTATCAACATATAGAACTGGAGGGTGCTCGCTGGATTCACCCAATTCACTCAATAGTCGTCTCATCCAGACCAGCTCCTTCGTTGCCTCGCTTGCAGCAACTATTTCTGCCTCTGTTGTAGACAGCGCCACGGTCTTCTGCACATTGGCTACACCAGGATACAGCTGCGCCCGCAAATATTGACACTATGCCCGAGGTCGACCTTCTCGTCCGCTTATCACCTGCAAAGTCCGAGTCGCTGTACACGCAGAGTTTGCCTTGACCGTCGTTCTTATAACACAATCCGAGTTCCTGAATTCCTCGAAGGTAGCGGAAGATTCTCTCCACCTCATTCCGATTCTTCTTCGTCGGACAATCCAGATCACGTGAGGCCCGACCAACAGCGAAAGCTATATCTGGTCGGGATGCAGTCATCAGATACATGAGACAGCCCACCGCTTGACGATACGTGACCAGGTCCGACACTTCCAGCTCATCCTCTGTTTCATCTTGGATCGAGGACGTGGCGACCGAGTTGCAATCCTG